TCGGCAGACAGCTTCTTGGTTTTCTCGGCCGGATCGGAGGAGGTCAGCACCTTGAAGCCATAGTCGCCGGGGGTGCCGGTCTTGTAGTCATCGAAGCCACCGCTGAACTCTACGAAGCCAAAGTACGCGGCAATCTGCGCCCAGCCTGCCATTGGCACCTTGGAAATAGCTGCGAGTCCGTTCGGGATGTCGGCGAACTTGAGGCCGGCGGATGGGCTCAAAAAGCCCGGCCTCAGAGCACACACTTTGGCTCTTTTGCATGCACGGACGCTTAGAAAATCGAATTGCGAGCCCTCACCTCGCCAAACGCCAACACACATGTCAAGGATTCACTGCCCACCTGGAGGTTTCCTTAAGCATGCACATTTTGTGGATTTGGCTCCGTGAGGGAAGTTGTGGGTTCTTCTGCTGCTGCATTCGCTGAGTCGATCACCACTGGCTTCACGAGCGCGCCTTCTGTCATCACTTTTGTTCAGATGGTCGTCTCAACTTTATGCCGCCAGAACAACAACCACCAACCATAATTACTGTACTGCGACTATGCCGCTGAAGCAATACACGAGTCCTATTTGCGAAATACTCAGCCCGCCAAACACCCTAAACCTAAACCCTAAAGCCTACTTGGAGATCCAGTTGACAACAAGGAACATTATTTCCATCCTAAGTTCCGAAGGTCGTTCACCATAACTACTGTCAACTAGACTCTCCAAGTCAACCTAAACCCCAAACCCTCGACCCTAAACCGTTTAGCTTGGCTCCACTGAGGCTGGAGCAGCTTCCCTGTGACCTCCGGTGTGATATAACCTCAGCGGTATAAGGTTAGGGATTCAGGGCTTATATGTAAAGAGTTGATGTTTAAGTCTTGGGGTTTAAGGGTTTGCAGTTGGGTTAAGGGTTTTGGGCTAGGGGTAGGGGATCTAGGGTTGAGAGTTGATAGAGTTTAGGTTTGGGTGGGGTTGGTCTTAAGGTTTCAGGGTTTAGGGTTCATGGTTTGGGCTGTAGGGTGTAGGATTTAGAGTTTAGGGTTTAGAGCTCAAGGGATCAGGGTTTGGGATCCAAGGTTCGGGATATATTGAGTTCAGGGCCTGGAATGGGTTTGTGGGCTTCAGTTTCACTGTCACGGTCTACAGTGTAATTATACCTTGGCTAGGGCCTTTCTGTAGGGGCTTATGCACAGATCTATGCCGGGTCTCAACCCTAAACCCTAAACCCTTAAGTCGGGCAACTACCTGAGCAATAGTCTAAACTCCTTCTATCCCCCTTAACAAGCCCTATAATACTCCCCTACATAACCCTCTATATAACTCCCATTAAGGATTATAAAACATAGATCACATAAAGCCCCTAAACCCAAACGTAGGGTTTGGAGGCATTTGGGGCTTTGGCCTTCGCTCTTGCTTTTTGTCGGGCATGGTGCGAGCTAGCGCCGTGTTAGGGTTAAGGGGTATAGGTAAGGTGGATCCCCCACCCTCTAATAATAACTAGAAGGGAGAATGGTAGTTATGCTAGGGTCCTCTGATGGTCCTATTATATCACTATTATAGTGTGGGGTGTCCTCCTGAGGTATAGGGGTAGGGTCTACGCGCTGAGGTGAACAACAGCATGCAAAACAGAAATGAAGACAAGGACACAAAGAGTTGGCGGTTGTTTCTGAGACCCTGAACCCTAAAGCCTAGAATCTAGAATAGCTTCCATTTGACTTTGTTCTCCACTATGCCCGTACCCGATATAAAGCCAAGATATATCTAGAACTCTCAAGGGCCCTAAGATACCCATATCATTTTGCAGTCGGCTTTTTCCTTGATTTTCATCACACAGATACTTTCCTGTATAACCCGAAACAACCACTTCAAAAGGATCCAAGGGTTTCCATTACATGTTCCGTTGTCTTTTTCATGTCATCCTTTCGAAGTTAAGGCCCTAAAAACACTATAACAGCACTACATAGCCCCCTTATAACCCTATAAAACCCTAAGTCCTCTATGAGCTCGTTGCTTGGAGCGCCAAGTTGGAGGAGGGTCTAAGACAAGTTGGAGGTGCCTAAAACCTAAATCCTAAACGCCCCACCCTACACCCTGAACCCTAGATTAGGGCTCCCAAAACTCCACTGTAGCTTTCGACTCTCTCGCTCCTGTTTCCTAGCTTTTCCCACGCTAAACTGGCGGCCTCATAATAGTTTGAAAGCCTGAGACTTGGCCAACGTGGGAGTGTTTCTACATGCAGCGGCTCACTAGTTGTCTTCTTGGTAGATAGTAGTTTCCATTTCATTTTCCATTATCCCAATACACCCCCTACATAACTCCATGACCCCAATGGGTGATTGGGACTGCTCTGGGCTGCAAGTTTAAAACCTTTCTGCCAGGGCCTGCTTTAATGATTTTATATGAAATGTCTCTCAAGGATTCTTGTGGACAACTTGGGCTAAGATGTGCAATCCCCCCCCCCCCCAAATTCTGAATCCCTCCCCACAACCCCCCGAATGATGGATAACCCCACAGTAGTGTACCATTTTTCGAAGAAGTTTTCCAACCTAATCGGGTGGATTATTGGGGGAGGAAGTTGAAAGAAAAACGTGTTCATGAGCAAGCGCTTAGGAGTTGGAGTTCAGGCATGCTGGGTATAGTGGCACAACGGGGCTTAGTGCTTTGGGTTTGGAATTTAGGGCTTAGGGTTTAGGTTAGGGTTTAGGGTTTAGGGTTCAAGGTTTAGGGTTTAGGGTAGGAAGTTCAAGCTTTGATCTATGAAAACGGCGGACCCCTGGGAGGAAATGCTCCCATCTTGGCAAGCACAGCGTCCTCCTCAATTCCGCACACCAACCATACAATCTACTGAAATCTCAGACCCTGGGCCCAGAACCAAAACTAAGCCTCGAAACCCCAAGCCCTAAGCCCTATTAAGCCCTCAAAACCCCAAGCATCAACAGAATAGGGGTTTAGGGTGTAGGGTTCCCGCGCCAAGCAGGCGTTAAACGGAAATCTACTTACCAAACCCTGAGAAATTGTAGGATACTCCCAACCCTAGACCCTACAACCCTAAAGCCTTAAACTTTCGTTTTTGGGTGAAGAGGCACCCATGGCTGCCATCATGGAGATTCGCCCATGCTTCCTTGAAGTTAGAGCTTAAGAGTTCGTTGACTCAGGGTTTAGGGTTTAAGGTTTTGGGGTTTAGGGTTGAAGGTTTAGGGTTTAATATTCAGGGTTTAGGGTTGAAGGTTCAGGATTTACGGTTGAAGGTTTCGGGTTTCGTGGGATGTTATCAAGGAGCATAGCTTCATACATTGCATCTTGGATTGGAAAATGAGGCTAAACCCTAAACCCTAATAGATGCAACAGCAATCCAGGCTCAGGGCCCAAGGGTGAATGCCGGGGGCACAAAGCTGAGAACTACTTCGAGCGTTCGGGATTAATTGTCCAGCAAGGTCTAGACACCCCCCCTCCTAGCCAGTAGCATTACGATCATTATTTGCTTATGTTTTGTTACTATTGTTGATTGGTATAACTAATTGGAAAGTAGTTTCACCTTTTGGGACAGCTGAACTGTCAACCACTGCTTGGGATGAGGTCGGGTGAGTTCGCTCTTCTCCGTCCATGTGGTCGGCTAAATTCTGAGGTATATGCCCAAATCCTATATTCAGACCCTATAGTCTATAGTAGAGCCTGGTTCACATTATTCAGCTGCCCACAGTATATTCCCGTTGTATGAGACAAGCCATCAAGCGCCGTGTCCTTTAGCCCTTTATGAGCTTATATAGCCCCATATACCCCTTCTTCAAACCGATCTGAGTTAGAATCTAAACTGATAGCATCCCCCCTCATGACGACTCTGGTAGTCCCCTATGAAATTCCCTATACAACCACCTTACAGGAATTTAGGCTGTAGCTCATATAAACCCTTCATACATTTGTTTCGTGGCTGTCTTCTGCTTTGAGAATATTGGGCTTTTTGTCTGTTCAGCCATGCTGTCTGTTGCGGCTTCCGGGTTTAGGGCTTAGACCTCGGGTGCTTCTGAGAAGAGCGATGACTTGCGAGATCTTCGGCTTTCCAATCACAATTACGGGGCTGGGGGGGGTTCAGGGCCAATCTTTCATGGAGTGCGGGAATATCTCTACCCCTCCACCTCAAACCTTGAACCTTAAACGCAAAGCTCTACACCCCCAGATCCTGAACTGCCAACTCAGCAGCATGAACCCCAAAGACGTTTCAACACAAATAAATGATAAATGAACCTGCAGAAGCAAGTCAGCTTTATGTCCCCAAAGCCTAAACCTCCAAGCCCCCAAAACTCAAGTGCTCACACCCCCTTAAATCCTGAACACGAAGCCCAACCCTACCCCAAACTAACATGGAACAAGAGAAGGAGGGCTCTTTGCAGACCGCTGTGCGTTTCAAGGGAGCTTTATGGGCTTCCATGTGAGTGTCGGAGAGGATAACTTGCCTGGCCCAGATCCTGAGACCCTAACTCTGTAAATCTAAACCCCTAAATGCTAAACGCCAAACCTCAAATCCCGAATCCTAACACCTGTAACTTTAACCCTCAAACCCTAAATCCTAAAGCTTACAAACCAACACCTTAAACCCACAATCCTATGTAAACATTACACCCTTAAACCTTAAACCTTGAATCCTATGTGCACCTTAAAACCTAAGTTTTAAACCGAACCCTCAAAGCATAGACCCCAAATGCTGAAACTTAAACCCCAAAATGCCAGCTGAGTGGCAACTCGACGGATCGACGCCTCTTGAAGGCTGCCGAATCTCCTTTTGAACCATGCCAATGCTACTTGCATAAGGCTGAAGGTTTAGGGCTTAGTGCGTAAGATCTAAGGATTTTAGGGTCTAGGGCTTAGGAGTATAGAGCTTGAGGTTCAGGGCTGAGTTTGAGGCATATCCACCCTACAGAAGGAACAGTGTTTTTGGTGGTTGACTCTAGCAAGGCCATGTTCCCTGTACCAACCACAAAAACCGAAAGAGCATACACACTTCCACTAAATTTTGATCCTTAGTACGTACCCCTGTTGAATCTACTACACACACAATAGCTACACGCACAATGGTAGTGAAATCCATGGCCTTTTCCGCCGACTCTTACGCCACACGCCCGACCACAGTGTGCCATTCTGTTAACATCCCATGTGTATCCTATACTATAGTAGTTCCCATCTCAGTTTCCATTATGCCTAGAGACCCCAATATTATCCCAATATACTATATATGGGGATAATGGAAAAGAA